ACACACACACACACACACACACACACACACACACACACACACACACAGCATCCCAAAGAAACAAACAACTCAGTAGAAAGGCATCTGAAAGGCTGAATCGGTGCGTGGTTTGAAGAGCACCGACTCATAATGAGCTGCACCGGGCTATCACAAAGGTGAGTCTGGGTTATGAGGTGAGGGTGTGTGTGTGTGTGTGTGTGTGTTGCAGTCAGCAACACACATACTTCATGTGGAGTGACAGTGTAACAAGTCTGCGTGTTGTTATTAATTGTGTTTGAATGTGTGAAGTCCACATGCACACCGGCTCTTGTTAAAGGAAGCAGTTCCACATTTCGGCCAGCAGGTGGTGGTGCAGCCTTCTTACAGAGCACTCAGAGGCCTGTGCGGTGTGTGTGTGTGTGTGTGACCTCGCTGTGATCCAGTAATATGATGTCACACGTTAACAGGGCGCTTACCAGCACCCGCTCGCTTGGCTCATTGTGTCATTTCCAAGGTTGAGATCGCGTTGACTCATCGCTGTTGTGCTATTCTGAGATGAGCCGTCTGCTCTGCATCGGCGGGCCTTAACTGTAACCCTCTGGCAATGTTAAAGAGTAAAAGACTCAGCAGGTTTCATTACGAGCCCTGCACGTCATGGCTGTATTTGAGCCCTGATGTGATCAAGAGCTGCTTGATCACATCAGGCTCTTTAAAAGATATGACGATGTTGAAAATAAACGGCTCAGATGCAGACAATAAACAGCTAAAACATAGTGTAAAATAAGTGTTAAATTGGTATAGTGAGAAAAGGTAAACGACAGTGTATATAAAAAAAAGAACTGCATATGATTACATGTAGGTTTAGCACTAAGAAAACCAGCAAATATTTTCATTTGAGAAGTGACTTTAAAAATGACTTGATTGATTATGAAAATACTGTAGTTGATTAATTTTCTGTTGATCGACTAATCAAGTATCGACTGCCAGTTTCATCTCTGAATGTGTGTGATCGGTGACTCAGTCACAATCAATGCTTGTCATTGAGGTTTATTGTAAATGTATTGCATTGTTAAATGTATTGTATTATATGTGCGTTTTATATATTCTCACCTACATTTTTTGAGTTTTGTGTGGTTTTATATATATTTTCATGTTGAGCTTTGTGTATTTCCATAAAGGCCCTACTAAGGATGGTCATTGAAAACTAGCTCGGGCTATAAATGATGTGGTATGTGGCACTGGTCCATGCTATATACGTGCCCGTATAAATATAAACATTACATATACAAATAGGGCTTTCTACATTGCTTTGACCAATGCAAGGAGTGGAATGAACTGTTAACTTAAATTATCGAAATACACACAATTTCAGGTAAAAAGAAACAGTCACATATCAGTTCCCATGGACCCATGCTATTAGCCAGATGAGTTTTAGGGGAATTTTAAGGTATCATTGTGTGTGTTTTGTACATTTTTTCTTATTGCACTTTGTGTCCTTCTAAGGATGATTATTGCAAATTATGATGGACTATAAATGCTGTGGTATGTGGCACTGGTCCATGCCATATACTTGTCCCTCTAAAAGTAAACCCTACATGAAAGATCTGTAATATGAAAATATGTCCCTATAAAAAGAAACTCATTACATGACTTGCAATCTTAAATACTCACATCTCTGACACATTCTCAGTATGTAATGGATACTATAAAAGTAAAGGAGCACAATCAAAGTACTTGTAAGTTCTTATTAGTCAAACACTAGGGAAGATTGGCGGTTTGATCCCCGGCTCCTCCAGTCCGCATGTCCAAGTGTCCTTGGGCAAGATACTGAATCCCAAATTGCTCCTGAAGGCTGTGCCATCCATTGGTGTTTGAATGAGCATTAGATTAGCACTTTGACCACCTTTTATGGTCACCCCTGCCATTAGCGTATCAATGTGTGTGTGAAAATGTATTGTAAAGCCCGTTGAGTGGTCGGTAAATGCAAGACCGATTACTATTCATATAGCTCATCATGACTGGCTAGAAGTAGACAACATCCTCTTTCCACCATCTCATGCAGTGTGTCTCTGACCTACTCAGCAAAAAAAAACGCTGCATAATCGACCTATAATAAACACTATGTAATACCTAACTGATTTATCATAATCCATCTCAGCTGAACATGAACAGCACATCTGCTTCCTATAAGGGCTTGGTTTCCTCTTGTCTTTTCCCTCGAGAACATTAATATTGATGTCATGGAGGAAGGCTGACCAAACTCTCTCTCTCTCTCTCCCACTCTCTCTCCCCCTCCCTCCCTCTTATACCCACACCCTAGATGCAGGCAGGCGTGCACACACCGGCAGATTCACTCAGCTTCCGCATCGCTCTCCCTTCTCCATCTCTGTGTCTCTATCCCTCCCTGCTCTCTCTCCGCCGGTGGATTTTAGCGCACTGCTGTGTTGAACACCGGTAAGAACGAACCCATCTCGCCGTCAGTGTGTTTCTCAGTGTCTCTGTGTTTGTGTGTCTCTGTTCTGGCTCTGTTTTACTGGAGCCAAACAAAGGATTTGGGGTGTGGCTGGGTGAGCGGAGGCTGACTGCTGATGGCAGCTGTGAAATGAGGTGGAAGAGGGATGTTGAGGAGGATGACGATGGTGCTGATAAGGGAACAATAGAGCAAATGTTTGAATAATTGTGTTTACTGACAAGTTGGAAAAAAGGTGAGGTTACGACTGCTGCTGTTGATATCAAGACTCGGCAGTGCTGGATACAGACAACATTTGCAGCTAGAGGGTAATCGAGAAATGATTCGGTGAGCCTCGTTTCAAGAAAGTGAAATATTTCAAATTCTGGCCATGTGCCCAGCATGTCTACTTGCTATGTCAAACCCATTCTATTAGGCCCCATTCAAATTCAGACTAGTGAGGATGATTTTACAGTGGCTTGCTTTGCAAAATGACTAGGGTGCGGGCTATAGTGGGCTTGTCACATTTCCACAGCAGTCTCTGACAGAGTGGTGGTCCAAACAGGCGTGACTGGGCCGGACTGCGCTGGACGGATTAGTCAGACCTGCGGGTAGGTCGAAGGAATATGACTGCAGTGCCTGGATCCATGAGGCTGCAGGGGTGGATGCAGAGGCAGAGTGAGGAGAGCGAGAGAGAGAGAGAGAGAGAGAGGATGCGTAGGAAGAGAACAAAGACCTCAGCCTTGGAGAGGGAAAGGCAAAGACAAAGGGAGGAACAGGGAGCGATGTTAAAAATAGGCACATGTTAGTGGGCATTTTTGGAGAGGGGAATATCAAGACAGAGCATGTGTGAGGCAGCGACCACGCACGGGCATCCATGTGGACATGTCGTAGCCACTCCCTTTATGTGCTGTCGGTTACAAAGATTACCTTCGATGGCAGACCAAGCCGTCACGATTTAAGGCAGGTGAAAACATTGGTCCTACACTACGGAATATGTCCAATGCAATAGATTTCGTGTCCATCATGTAATGCCGCATTATCAGCGCGATGGCTGACGGGAAAGGTCCAACTTGTGTGTGCTGAGGTGTTCTTCTCATCTTCTTTCACAGCCAAAATGTCCGACAAGCCTGACCTGACCGAGATCGCCCGTTTCGACAAGACAAAGCTGAAGAAGACGGAGACAAAAGAGAAAAACCCTCTGCCCACCAAAGAGAGTGAGTGGCCCTTGCGTCTGTGTCTCTGTGTGTGTTTCTAGGCGGCGCTGAAGCCTCCATACCCCCTGCAACAATTTTCCTGTCAGCAGCTACCCATCACCTCCACTGCTGACAAACGGCTACAGCTAGCAGAAAAAACTAAAATGCTGCAACATCAGCACATCATTGCTATACATTAAATCCTGTGCGCCAAACACAAGCCTGCTGACCTAAACAATTTTCCTCTTCTCTTCCTCAGCCATCGAGCAAGAGAGGAAAGGCGATGCCACACCTTGACTCCTGAGCACATGAAGAAAAAGACGCTGAGATGCCGCAGCAAAAAAAGCACTTTCTTTTGATTATCACAGTATTTCAATCTCTTACTTTGTCTTCGGATGAGGGTGCTCTTGAGCTCCCTGGGGTTGCCGTATAGGGGTATGTGGCATCATCACATGGGAATGCTCTCTTACCACTTTAAAAAACATTAGCCTGGGTGCCTGTCTCGCACTGTTAGCCTATAGCTAACATGTCTCCAATATTGCCAAACTGGGGAGTGGTGCAGTGATGTAGCCCAAAGAGATAGACAGGCATCCAGGCTATGGGGGGAGGGGGGACTACAGTCATGGGAGCACTCAGAGTCTAATCATGTGGGATGTTTTCTTAACTTTTTACTTTTCTTTATGAAATAAATATGAAGACATGGAACCAGTCAACCCTCTGTGCATGTTGCTGTCTCTTTTGTGTCCATGTGCAGATTCTTAGACACTCATGAGGCATGGACTCATCGTGCACGGCCATGGAATAAACACACATTACAATAAAAAGGATTTGTATAGACTGCTTGCAATTGACCTGTACAGTATAAAAGTATTGCAGAGTACAATTATGTAATTCACACCTCAGGAGTGCATATTTATAGCCATAGTTCAATGCACAAACAGGGGCCATGTTTCTGTGTAGTTTACCGAAAGAAACATTTAAGAACACGGGCTGGCAACACACTTTTTTTATACCTTAATTATAATGGTAATGTACTGCAAGTGGCTAATATTACACAAATCGTCATACCAACATATTAATAAATTTATGACAAAAGTCAACTTCTTAGTATGAGAACTTGTTTGATCCTCTCCTTTAGATTGGCTCAATAAGGCAGCTAGTCTGCTCATTTTTAAAGCTAGCTTAGATTGTGAGCTTTTGCTTGGCATTAGAGCTTAAACCATTACTTGATAAATGGACAGAAAATGAATAATAATCGAAAAAAGTCAAGGGTTTCAATGATTCTAGCTTCTCAAATGTGAGTATTTGCTATCTTTTATGATAATTAAGTTTTAGAATTTTAATCTGGATAAAACAGCTATTTGAAGACCTCACCTTGGGCTCTGGGGAATTATGGGTATTCCCCCCCCCCCCCACTATTTTCTGGCACGTTATCAACTAAACGAGCCCTACTTGATTTCATTCAGTGAAGATTAACAGCAGCATCACAGCAGTGAAGACACGCCACAGTGCCAGCAAAGACAGTGCTGTGAAGCTACCAGGAGCTAGCTGGCTAGCTGGCAGTAGCCGAGGATGCTGGAGGCTGGAGGAATGTGGTTGGCTGAAAGGCGAAGGGAGGGGCGGGGCTTGGTGACAACATATTGAGATTGAGAAAATATTAAGCAAAAGCAGCACTGTAACAATATACCACCGCGGAATAAAAACAGACCGTTGGGCATTTCGAATAAAAATCGTGTGCCATACAACTAAGAATAACATAATAACATTTCAAAGCAATCATTTGAGTTGAATTATTTAACTTTTTACCGACCTTTCCTGCATTAACAATTGGATGCTTCTTTATGTGGCCTATCATTTCTTTATATTACAGTTATTTATTTAATTCTATAACAGCAGCCTTTTTCTACGGTCATTTACAGCCCCGCATGGGATGTCGCTGGCTGGCGTCAGCAGTCCTACCACCCATCCCCGGCCTGTCAAGCCCGTCACCTCCCGAGCCTTTATTGCTCCATTTCTCTCACCTCGCCTGGCTCATGAATCACTCGTCAACGCTCACCCGGACGGCCTAATGTGTCCGACATGTCTGTTAGAACAATTTAATTAGCGCGCATTTGGACTTCATGTTGTTTTAAGTTCAGTGTGTTTCAAAGGGGGTCCCCCATACCCTTACGTGTCCTCTCTTGGAAGTGGTCGAGCTGGAATACACATAACTTACATGGAAAATAAAAATCCATAGGAGCTCTTAAATTGTTATTATTATGATAAACTTTACGTTTAGTCTATATTACTAATATATGGACTACAATATACTATTCATCAAATATACCTTTGACCATTTTGTCATTTAATAATAATAATAATGAAATTGAATTAATGTATCTAAATGACGTAACCCACGTGATTTGTCCCTGATAGTTTCGGTGAGACAAATAGCGTCCATGGAGAAACACGCCCAGCTGCATTGACTACTATTGTTTGCAGGTTATTAACCCATTAAATTCGATAAAGGAGCCTTGGGTTGACGACAAATTATAAGGCATCGCAGATTGATTTCTAATCGCTCTGTATTACTTCCCAACAAGGTGTTGAGGGGCTCCAGGTTTCAGTCATGAATGCGGGCGATATCTAATTAGTGGGGATTATCCTCACCTCCACCTCTCCACTATTGTGTGGGGGACCTCGCCCAGCCGCCCGTCTATTGTCCACCGCGCGGAGTGAATTGTTGGTTTAGGGGATTTTGAGTGGCTTAAAGTGGATTTGACATGTGTAAGCGATTCGATTTAAAAAAAGAAAAAACTGTAATGTTAACCAATAACTCTCCAATCAAATCACGGTACGAGTATGCAATGGCAGAAACCGGCATGTGATTATAGAGGCTAAATTAAGGATAATCACAATTAATCCCAGATCTCTATACACTGAATTAATCAACATTAATCGGTTCTTTTTATTTAAATCTACGAATCAAAACCACCTCTGAAACACAAATTATTGACCGTACAATATAAAAAAAATGTGTAAAGCAAAAAATCTCTTATTTGTTTACACTCTTGTAAATTCCAGACTGTTTTCACACCGAGTAGTTTCCCAGGGAAACATCTATTATCCTATTATCAAGACGATGCCAATGTCGCCGATGTGTGAGGCAGTATTTACATGACTATATACCATCAGCTCCTGAAAGACTTTATGGCAGTCAGTCGTTCCCCCTGGGGCACTGGTGCCATTTCCCAAACGTTTCCAACTACACATGAAGTCCCCAAAGCTGCCCCTCAGTTCTGTATTTCTGACTGCAATGTGATGAGGAAGAGCCATATTTAATGCCTTAATGTCTGAGCTTTGTTGTGGCCTCAGCCACTCTTCAAACCCCTTAACAATAAATCATTGCAATAGACCTATAGCAATATGATACACAGTGTTTTACAGTGATGTGTCATGATACACCTGAAATTAAAATATGATTAATATGGGGTTTATGTGTCCTATTTGTAACGCTCAGGATGATATACTGCATATCCTTCAATTCGTGGGAAAAAGCGTGTAAGGATCGGAGCCTGGGAACGGCAGGTGAATGAATGAGGGGCTGTTTAAGTGTCTGCGTCACTTCTTTGAAGTGCACTTATGCACCGACGGCTCCCATTTGTCTGTAGGACGCGGCGATCAATGTCGTCCTCGGCGCATTTTCACAGTGAAACGCTACCTGCGGGACAAATCTGTCAATCAAAGGGGCAGGAGCATATAAATATCATCAGCGAGGAGTCTGGCTACAACTTCAGTTGCCCTCTTCTCTCTCTCTCTCTTGGCACTCACGTCTGGGATACAAACACACAGTCCTCCGGTTTGGATTACAGCTGTTATGGGACCTTTGAATCTCCTTCCAACCGTGGTTCTGTCCATGTGCTGTCATGTTCAGTTTGCACTAGCCTGGTATGTCGCTAATTTTTGGATGAATTAATTTGCAACAGTGTGATGCGTGTTTGTCAGTGACCTTGGATTAACGTGGCTGTCCTGTTTTCTTTCTAAAGGACGGTGAATAATTTCCTCATGACTGGACCTAAGGTAAATACATTCTGGGCGTGAAATCTCTTCTGTAAATTCAAATATCTCAGATGACTTTGTTGTGAAAATAAATATTGGTTAAATGCAGTAATGACTAACGTTTCTATTTGGTTTTCCTCTCCCAAGGCTTTTCTCACCTATGCCGGTAGTGTGCAATTGGGCGCACAGGGTGGAATACATGAGTGTAAACACCAGTTCGCGTTGGAGAGGTGGAACTGCCCAGAAAACACGCTCCAGTTGTCCACACACAACGGCCTTCGAAGTGGTAAGATATTAATATCCATATGTCTGTATCATATGCTTGACTTGCAGTGGGGTGGAGTGCTGGATGAGTTTAACTCCAGCAAATGTCGCTATTTTGCACAAAGTCAATCCTCCAACACAGAGACGGGGTTGTGACCGACTGTGCGCTGTGACCTCAACGGAGGGAACACACACATTAACTTCAGTTACTTGCTGGAACCGCATTTATAAAACACCAAACATGCCCAACAGTACCCTATTCAATTCCTGTACTGCCTTTACGCACGGTTTACGCGCCTTTTACGCACAGTATATGAGCGCAGCCTTTGCGCATATATGGCCCCAAATTGGATCGCAAACTAAAACATTGTGATTCGCTTTCTTTGTCACTTATTGTAGCCACAAGGGAGACGTCTTTTGTCCATGCCATCAGCGCGGCAGGAGTGATGTACACGCTCACCAAGAACTGCAGTATGGGAGACTTTGACAACTGCGGCTGTGATGACTCCAGAATTAGACAGACAGGTACATTTTATATGATTTCCACACTAATAGGCATGTCTGGTCTATTTTACAGTCAAACTTGTATTACGTGAGACTTTTCGTTCTGAGAACTGAATGTGCATTTTTGAATCACCAGGTGGCAGAGGGTGGATTTGGGGAGGCTGCAGTGATAACGTGGCGTTTGGAGAGAAGATCTCCAAACAGTTTGTGGACGCGCTGGAAGGTGGGCACGACTCGCGCGCAGCGGTCAACCTGCATAACAACGAGGCAGGCAGACTGGTAAGATATGAGTGTACTATTATTAGTAACTGGAGTTTGTTATTGCTTTTGATGGGCTGTGTTCTCAAAAGTAAACAAGTGTATTGGGAAAGGAAAATCGATGTCTTTTGTCAGTGGCTTTTACGCACAGGTTCAAATCCAAGAAGGAGAAAGTCCCGCACGTTTGATCAAAGAATTTTCATTGCTAACACGCTCGCTCTCTTGGCAGGCCATCAAAGCGACCATGATGAGAGCGTGTAAGTGTCACGGAGTGTCCGGGAGCTGCAGCATCCAAACCTGCTGGATGCAGCTGGCCGACTTCAGAGTGGTGGGCAACTACCTGAAGGTGAAGCACGAACACGCGAAGAAGCTGGAGATGGACAAGAAGCCGGCAAAGGCCGGGAACAGCGCGGACAACCGAGGGGCCATAGCGCACGCCTTTCGGAGCATCGCTCGCACAGAGCTCATTTACCTGGAGGACTCCCCGGATTACTGCGTTAAGAACCGGAGCCGGGGATTTCCGGGCACCGAGGGGCGGGAGTGTCTGAAGGGCAACATGAACATGTCCCTTTGGGAGCGAAAGAGCTGCCACAGGCTGTGCTACGAATGCGGCCTCAGAGTGGTGGAGAAGCGCATCGAGGTAGTCAGCAGCTGCAACTGCAAGTTCCACTGGTGTTGCACAGTGAGGTGCGACAAATGCGCGCGGCTTGTTACCAAATATTTCTGTGCGCGTAAAGAAGGTGGGAGAAAACCGCAGAATAAAACAAAGCGCAGGCACCGTGCGCGCGGCCACTGACTGCCATTTGGTGCATAGACTTCATCACTTTTTTATTTCTTACAGCCTTGTGGAGATCAATAAGCATTCTTCTGTATTATAAGAATACTATTTTCATCACATCACCTGAAGCCTGTTTAATGCACTTGGTCTTATTGATTTGATCCTGTAAATCACGGCATGTTTTTTTGAGGACCAAACTCTTCACGCATGCTCGCTCGTTTTGGGGATTTATTGCGTCTGTCTTCTATGAAGTCTCAAAATTGTCTAAAATTTTATATGTATTTGTATTAATTGAAAGTGTCATCTAATAAATATTTTTCTACAATACACATGACTCCAACTGATTTGTCAGGGGCAGCATTTTGTTTATTGTTGTCCTGGTTTCATACAGCCTCGCCGAAGAAAATAAGCTGTTACCTAATGCCATCCTTTGATGTGCACATAGGCGTTTCCTAAACTCGTCAACCAATCAACTGTCTCGGACTTCGGAGGACAAAGAACAAGAGTTCCATTTGTTCTTCATTCAAATAAAAGAGAAAGTTGCAGCACACAGGGCCAAATAGAGCTCTACTTTGAGGGACAACTGTGAAGGTGACAATGGTGCATGCATTTTTTTGGCTCCTGCCTCTTTTATACAAAACGTGTCCGGGACATGCTTGGTAAGAGACTATATACTGTTTTTCCGGTATCTTCTCTATAAGTGTTTGTGTCAACATTGGTCTCATTCTCCTCATATATCTTCCTCTCAGGGTGGCAAGTAACTTTCTCATGACGGGACCCAAGGTAAATAGATTAGATTACCCTGACAAGTTTAGGACAACATTTCGAAATGTGAATCGGGCGAACAACATGACATTGTCTCTCCTGCAGGCCTATCTCACCTATGCAAGTAGCGTGCAGGGGGGCGCACTGACTGGGATCGAGGAGTGCAAACACCAGTTCGCGTGGGACAGATGGAACTGTCCCGACTCCGCCACTCAGCTCAAAGGACTAAAACGCGGTAGGTTGAGATTGTAAATAACAATTCCTTCATTGAGGTATGAACGCAGGTCCTAAACTGGAGAAGAAAAATGGCATGCGTAATGTGCATGCGTAAAATGTGTCAAGAATAACAAAGGACATCATAGAGATATATTACCATTATAATGTTACGTGCTGCCTATACAGATGAACATTTGATTTGTTTAACAACAAAAAGGAACAGTTGCTGTATGTTTTATAGTTTTATATTCGCTTGTATAAAACGTGATTGCACTTTTTTTCTCAAAAACAGCCACCAGAGAGTCTTCTTTCGTCCACGCCATCAGTTCCGCGGGAGTGATGTACACTCTGACCAGGAACTGCAGTCTGGGAGACCTCGACAACTGCGGCTGCGATGTCTCCAAGAACGGGAAAATTGGTGAGCATTACCCAGATTATAATCTTATGCGTATACGGCATGCTGTGCACATACAATGTATATTATTTCCAAACTTTAGAGCTCCATTTGGTGACCTGATTTAAGTTGTATATTGTTTTTGTACAGGCGGTCGTGGCTGGCTGTGGGGTGGCTGTAGTGACAACGTGGATTTCGGAGAGAGGATTTCCAAACAGTACGTGGATGCGCAGGAGACGGGGCAGGACTCCAGAGCTGCTGTCAACCTGCACAACAACGCGGCTGGGCGGCTGGTAAATTCTGTTCACGCCACAAGCATTGATCTCACATTACACCATTTTAAGTTGTTAGGAGTTGTTAACGTTCCCAGGTTTCCAACAGGCTGTGAAGGCAACAATGAAGCGCATCTGCAGATGTCACGGTATGTCGGAGAGCTGCAGTGTCCAAACCTGCTGGACACAGCTGTCCGATTTCAGAGAAATCGGCAACTACCTGAAGATCAAGCACGGCCAGGCCCAGAAGCTGGACATCGACAAAAAGCGCATGCGTGCTGGCAACAGCGCGGACAACCGGGGCGCCGTCGTGGACGCGTTCGGTGGCGTCACGCAGACGGAGCTCATCTACCTGGAGGACTCCCCGGACTACTGCCGGAGGAACACCAGCATAGGGCTGTACGGCACCGAGGGCCGGGAGTGCGTGCAGCACGGAGAGGGGTTAACCGCGTGGGAGAGGCGCAGCTGCCGCCGGTTGTGTCACGAATGCGGCCTGCGGGTGGAGGAGAGGCGCACGGACGTCGTGAGCAGCTGCAACTGCAAGTTCCACTGGTGCTGCACGGTGAACTGCGAGGACTGCTCTCAGGTCATCCTCAAACACGTGTGCGCGAGGAGGGAAGGGGCCGATGGGAACGGCTTTAGACGGAGACTCCGTGGACCCAAGTGAAAAATATATATATATATATATATATATATATAGATCTATTACCTGTCTACATCACAGTAGAGTCTGTTTAATAATGGCCCACGATGCTAAATGTCTGTTTGCACTTTTCACGTCTCGCTGTATAAATACTTGAGTTTCTATTTATGAAGAATGTGTTTTGTTTAGTTCAAATAAAAGTTATAAAGCCCTCTGAATGTCACGTTTCATTTCAGTCAAGTCTTTACCTTGTAAATCCCGGGGTCAATGGCTTTTTATGACAGGGCGCACAAGCGTCTATTAGAATGAGAATGGAGCGAATACACTTAACAGAGGATTACATGGATAACATGGTGCAGTTCGCACCTAGCCAAGGTGTTGATCCTCCATTGATCCGCTATCACTTTGATGTTTAACGTGTATTGATGCCATTCAAAGAGCAGCGAGGCTTTGAAAGACTAAACAGGGAAGCATTTCCACCGCTACAAGTTGCTATTTGGCCTGATAATCCGTGACACCACATCAGCCTATACACTAGTCTTTGCATACCACAGGCAATGCAAATGTACCACAATGCATCAAGAGGGCAAACAGATTGTAACCAAACTCTACCGTTTCTCAGCAAAGTGGGTCACATTGAAATCCAGACACCGCATTGTAAGTGAGGCAACAGTTCTGAATGAGTCAAGATTCCACCATGAAAGCAAGTTAATTTCTAATCTTATAATTTGCAAGTAATTAGGCCCGAGAGAAGCCTGGTCTCCACCCACCGGCCTCTCTGTGTCTAAGGAGCCTTTCATTTGCCTCCTTCTCTCCTCATACCCCCTGTATCTCCAAAAATCTTCCTCTCAGCTGGACGCGTCATAAATCTGCCACTGCCTCAGCTAAATGAGTGATGGCATGGATATTACCTTCGTGAGGGGGTCCATGCCTGGGGGAGAGGGGGTGGGACAAAGCTGTTCCACTAAATTTAAAGACCATGTTAGACGCAGTAAAGAAGGAGATAAATGAGGAATTACAGCATGGATTATCTTTATCAGTTGACCGACTGGTGTCACTTTAGATGGCAGCATTGAAGTCAATGGAGTCCACACTGCTCGTCGTCACTCTGAACACTTTAGTCAAATTATATATATTATTCATTCATATGCACACAGTTTTTTGTAACATGTAGCTACATGTCACTGCCAAATAGAAATCTAAGCAGCTGTGTATACTGAATATACAGCCAACTGACATACTGTATCCACCTACGTCAACCTGTTACATTGGTTATTCAATATTTATTCCACCATTGTACTGCTGTATTGTTTACAGTCAATACAAACGGTCTTACTTATAGACATTGTATGTTGTTTTTCATTATTGTATTGTGTGTATATAATACATACATATACACACCTAGCGTCCTTGTTACAGCTGCATTTCTATTTCTGTTCATGTACATTGAGAGAAACAAAAAACAGTCAAATTGCTGGTATGTGTCCTCATATCTGGTCAATGAAGCCGATTCTGACAAACTGAAAATTAGCATTTTAGCTCAGTCTCCCTTGCTCCCCATTTGTCTGTTTGCTTGTGGGGATGTCCTGTATTTCCCATGCTGCCCTGCTGTGCGTTAATGAAGGTTTCCCCCCCCCCCCCCTGCTCCGCCCCTTCCCTCTGCTCTCCACTGAATGCATCATTGCTTCCATATTGGTCCATATGATGCTGTTGCTTGTGGCTTCGCATCACAAGCTCGCAGATTAACCCTCTTTTACCTGTTTTGAGAAATACCCACAGTAACTGAATATCATCTCGCATTGATTCAACACATTGCTGTATAATTATACTCCATTTCATGTGTGGCAGTATCATGTCTTTCATTGGAGGGGCATGTTTCCCAATCAGGACAGAGGAGGAACACCGGGGAGGGGGTGGAAGGGTCGATCTCCCACGGAGACCCCCCAGGAGGACTCATGTATTCACCCAGACATGCCCGGGGGTGTAGGGGGGGATCTGAGCGTGATTGATCATCCCTCCTCTCTGCTGCCCTCCTCTCTCACCTGGGTGTGAGATACCAAGAGGCCTGACGCAGGCTGAGACTCCAGACCTGATGCGGCCTTCAACAAAAGCCATGTTATGAATTAGAATGTATGAGACCACAACATGACTTATATCTCTGAGCAGGAAACATTAACCAATGCATATGAATACAACCATTTAGAAGAGCGTGTGAACTTTAAATCCACAGTAGACGTGAGCTACAGTCTATTTAGAGCTAACCATACTTAAATCTGCATCTCACATTAAGGTCCAGCTGCTCAGTCAACAATCAGACACAAAAGTTAGCGCAAACTAAAATAACCACCGTATGCAGCTACAAGCATGTGGTGGCGTATGTAGGTGTGTGACAGGAAATCAGCAGGCTCCATGTTTAGAGAAGGAAATACAGATATATCATTTTATATCACAAGTGCTTTAAAACCACAGAAACGTTGCTACTTCAGCCTGTTACGCAACAGACGAGGACACAAATATGCCTATTTAAAAAGGGCAGCGAGGTCATATTTAACTTTCATTTTTACAGGTCGAGTGCGTTGAAGACTTCAAGAGCAACAGTTTTGTGAGACCACTGCAAAAAGCAAAAAGCTCCTCCTGTTGTCGATTGAACCCTTCATTTTGTGACACTTGCAGGAGACGAGCATGAGTTGGAACAATGTTCCCTCTAAAGCAGAGGTACTGGGATGGAGTCCCCAAAGTCTGGCCGACTACATGAGGACGGTGAGTGTCGAAAGAGACGCTTGTTTTCATATCTTCTGTAACAAGTCAAGTACTGTAGTTCCTTTACCTGCCAAGTTAAATCAAAACTTGACATGTGACAAAGCTTAAAAAAAGGCCGGGGGCTGTACAATACGTATGAAACGAAGTAAACATATGCAAATAAATCGCTTGAGTAATGTAAGCAGCAGTTCTAGGTTTACTCTGTTAGAATAGACTGAGCTACTAGGATATTTCAAGGCAATTGTATAACTCCCGAGACATTAAAGTAAAAGTCTGTGACGTCCTCTCAGCTAAAGCTATCCGGCTGCGACAAACTGGTGATGAAGGACAGCATAAGTGGAGCACAGTTCATGGTAAGTACGTCCTATGTCCTATGTGCAGGCCTGTGCACGCATTTACTATTCTGAAATACAATTGATTTATCTTTAATATTCAAATCTACGTCATCCAGGAAATGACGACTTGCAACCTTCAAGTGTTCCCCAGCCTCTATATCCCGTGAGTCCGACTGAAAACATATTTATTTCAATTGACAACGAACAGTATTCTTAACCAAAAACATTGTTTTAAAAAAAATGGTTTTGTATCTTCATAGATTAGTTACTAAGATTCAAAGTGACATCAACAAGGGGGATCAGAAGGCCTTTGGTCTAACGTAAGAGAACAGATTTAATTTTACAGCTCATACCGGATGTGAAACTTTAACAACAATGCATAATTTTCTCACTTTCTGTGCAGATCAAAGGCACCACAGTACCCAAAACAAAGTAAAGGACACTTGTGTTCGACTAGGCCACCGATATCATAAAGCCATCCTTCCTCAGGCCTGATGATAACATTCTTTTTACGGCTTATTTTCCAACAGTACTTGTACAGGAGGAAGAAAAATGGGACTCTGATGAGCTTGTGAGTAAAACACATCTTTAAATGAAGAAAAATAAACGTCAGCGTCAAAGCAAACTCATTAAATTAAGCGACACATAACACAAGGAATAGATCACATGTCTGGGCTGTGTGTGTGTGTGTGTGTGTGGCAGGACAGTGAAAATGATAACGACTATGAAGGTCCAGAGGAAGACGGCTACATCTGTGCTTTGACTGAGCCACAGACAGCTGAGCCACAGACAGCTGAGCAGCAAGACGGTGAGGAGACCTATGAAGAGACCAGCAAGAGCCCTTCCTCTGCAGACACAACGAAGCCTCCTCGACATCCCAGAGTGGCTAAACTTCAGGACAGTCACTGCAGAGGTGACAGAAACGTGTAAAAACATATCAGCATATCTCCTGCCTTTCGTTTTATGTGCTTGGTAAGCAGAATTGGCGATCCCATTTCCTGCAGGCCTAAGTTAAAACACGTGTGTGTGTGTGTGTGTGTGTGTGTGAGAGAGCAGATCCTGTTCATAAGCCGACCACTGCTGAAAGGACCTCTAAACCTCGACCGCTTTGTCCACCCAGAGTGAACCACATGCCTCAGAGACCTTTCAAAGCACCAGGTGACGGCACATGCACTGACTCCACGACCACCTGAGCTATTGATGATGATGATGAACTAATCCTTCTGTAAAACGTGTTCAAACACCAGCCAGCCAACCCAACCTGCATATCGACAGGAGCAGGAAGCCCGGAGAGTCTGGCTCATCCCAGACAGACCTTACAAAATCAAAATCAAGTACGTGCTGTTTATTACGTTTCGTTTGGGGCGATTGTACCGGTTGAACACCAAAAATGTTGCTATCTCATCACAGTATTGCTGTTCACATTTCTGTTTTGTCCACAAGAGGGCGGCGCTGTCAAGGCTCCTGGCTCATCCACGTACAGTATCCCTAAACCCAGAGTCCCCAAACCCACAGATGTGTCCAACAGGTAGGCCAACCGTAACAGTATGAGGCTAGCTCGCCTGTCACTCCAGGTAAAGGGATTATTTGAGTATTTTTTTTTTTTCAATGATGCTCCATTTCCTCTCTCCACTCCCAGAGCAGGTAAAGTCATTCCAGTTCCTCCCGTGTCAACACAGCCTGCTAAGGTTAACAGCTCAACACCGGGACAAAGTAAGGTGAGAAGCAAATGTGGAATCACAGATGAGCCATGACTTCTGTATAAACTGTGCTAGGTAGGGAGCACCAATGATATTAAGGGGGAGCTGTTCTGTGCACACTTTGAGTCATTTCAGAAGGGAAGCAGCAGATGGCGCTGTTGTAAAGAAAAGAACACAATGGTGGGACCCTTACCTCTGCTCTGAACTCAAGAGATTTTGTATTTTATTCACTAGACTGGGTTAACTGAGGAATATCTCTTCCATTTCTTTCACAATGACAATAATGTAAAAACACATTTCTGTCAAATGAGAAATGAGAAGGTAGATCCGGTTTGTGTAGTCTTTACTACAACTGTGTTGTCATGTTGCATCCAGGGTTTTGATGTCAGCTGGTACGGAGGAAAGGTGACCAGACACCAAGCTGAAGTCGCCCTCAGAGAGATGAACAAGGTCAGGTCGCCGCCTCTCACAGTCCCGCCCTCCTCTCTCTGGAGCACAGACACACGTATACACACACAAAACATGCAGCTTTACCAGGATGTTATTTGCAATATTGTGTTAAACTGGCTGAATGTGTATGGATTTGTCCACATATTTTGTGTTTTTAGGACGGGGCATTTGTGGTGAGGGACAGCTCACACGCCAGGGCTGAGCACCCCTACACCCTGATGCTGCTGAAACACGGCAAGGTTTACAACATCAAGATCTGCAACCAAGGTGACTCCTACTCCCTCGGCACCGGCTTGAGAAAGACCCAGGTACCCTGGAAACGCTGACGCCATTAAATAACAGTGTTCAAATGAAGAAGGCAAAAGCCGGTCTGTGTTCACTTCAAATAAACTGAAAAGTTCACACATCTTGTGGCTCGCCTCGGGCAGTGGTTGATGCCGACTTGTGCCGCGCTGCGTCATTAGGTCCCTGTCATCTTTTTCCTGTGTGTGTGTGTGTGTGTGTTGTAGAGTTTCCCCGGGGTGAAGCAGATGATTACCTATCACACGTACACCCCACTGCAGCTCATCGACGCCACAGACCAGAGCGACGAAGAGCAGAGCCACTGCTGTCTGCTGCACCCTGCGGGGCTCTGACCGGCACCGAGCTTAACGTGGGTGTTTGCATCCGACTCTCTATGCTAATTTGTGTGCACCAGTGGCCTGTTCAAGCCTTATAAAATGTCAGTTTTTGCAAAAGGTTATTGTTGTGTAATTCCTCTTTTTATTCTAATGTCATTTGTATTTTTAGTGAACAGAATGAGAGAAAATAACTTTTTTTTTTTTTGTATATTTTACTAAACTACGTTCACTCAGCCTTACCTCTGTTCTTCATGCCTCGGTTTCAGGTCCAGCTGGGGGGCTGCTGCTTCAATGCCAACTTGTCAGGGTGGCCAACACAAACAATCAGATCACATTGCCTCAGCTGGGTTCGCACTGCAGGCAGAAAACAAATCCAGAAAACCTGGTTTCACAAGCGCCTCTGGTCCACACATGTCCTAAAGTCACGTTTCAAAATATAGAAGGTTCCACACCAAGGATAGTACTTAAGTTAAGAGGAGATAACCTGAATGTTAAACTTGGATACATGCCTCTCTATTTCATCCTGTTATTATAAAGAGGTCCTGGTATTCACTAAGATGTGCTACTCAAACATAAGTACACTGTGTTTCAGATCAATGACAAATGTATATTTATTCCCAAATGTACTCGACACATGAATTCTAACCAGGCTTTGAAAAAGTTGTGCATTAACTCTGTAAAACAGGATAAATAAAGAGTCAGTGTGCACACGTTTTTGAGGGAGGTGTTGCTGAACAAAATTGTTCTGCTATGAAAACAGAGCAGCTCCTCACAGATGGAACAATTAAAACAATTTGGGGCACAGAAAATCTAAAATGACTCGAGCACTTGATCTTTTGAGAAAATAGTTTTCTTTTTGTTTACAAATCCGAAAGCTGGCAACAGCTCTCTAAAAACAACAGGTTGACTGACAACTACTTTGACTGTCCTCTGCCAAAAACATCTCGGATAACAGTGCCATTACACGCATATTTGCATATCAATCATCAAGGTCTTCTTACTGGCACAATTTGATTCTTACTGACATTTATTGGAGAGGAAACAGTCAAACATACATGCCAGTTGATCCATGCAGTGCGATAAGGAGTCCAGCCCTTTCAGAATCTTTTCCAGATCAATGCAGGCAGTTGATGCAGCTTGCTCCGCCTTCTCCATCTGAAAAGTAAGTGCATAAGAACAAAGCAGACCTTGTCAACTGTAATTAGACCACACAACATCTTACAGACTTGAACGTGCAAAATTCGGAATGCTGGTGTAATATCCCAAGTAACGACAACATGAAAGGACATTAAAAAAAAGAGGAGGTACTGCACATTGAAATGTGATTTATTGAGCTGTAAAGTGAACGATATGACAGTAGTGTGATGAAAGATATTAATGCGGGTGTTAATATTGACATCATTTATAAAGGTCTGGGTTTTGAAGGTTGAAAATGGCTCAAAACTGTTTTAAATCAGCCCCGAAGGTTAAAGGACAATTCTCACAGATTCCACCATTTGGTATATATGACATGAGATCATTGGTAAATCCTGAGGGCAGAGTTACACTTTAATACATTCCAAAAGTAGGTGACAGACAAGTAAGTCTATGTCTATATAAAAAAAAAACACACACCAGAAGACATTCTCACTTTATGTGTTTTTATTATTGAATTTAACAAGCTAAAGCCATCAGAATACTTTATAACCACAGATCTAACACAAACTGAAGAACTTGGTAACATCAACTAAGTCTGTACATTACTGAATGTAACATCGTTATGAGTCAGAGAGCATCTGAATACATGTTGAGGCAGGAGGATCAGTTTATATGTCCATCTCTGGCTCCTGGTCTCGGTCTCCGCAGATAATACTGCGGCACTTATGATAGGCTTCTTTCAGCTTCAGCATGGAGGTCCCCAGCTCGGGACTGGTCCGCAGGGCCACCATGTCATAGGCCATCCAAGTCAGCTGCACTACAGGTGGACACACAGGAAGACAACGGTGGTTATTACCAGACATGCACGGGTATGTGACATCTGATTCCCGAATTGCAGCCATATTAAAAGAAGCCCGTCTAACGCCTTGTTACAACGAGACAAAAGTTACACACCTGATATGTTTTCAACGGCTTCTATAATTCTCTCCAAGTCCTTGTTCAGCTCCAACACGTCGTCCACGCTGTCCTGCGATAGCTCGGGGAGCGGCGATGAGTCAGCCATCTTAAATTACAAACCGGCGGTTGGCTTTTTAATCAGCTGTCCCGTCACAGAGACACTTCTCCGACAACACTAACGTTAGCTATCTTCAGCTAAGGTTAGGTCGTCATGGCGGCTACAGGTAAACGTTAGCTAGCTAGCTCGCGGCGCCGTGGTATTATGTTAGCAACGGTCGAGTTAGCGTGATAGAAATACGATTAAAAATACGATTCTGACGTACTTTCATCAGTCAAGGGGAACAACAGCATCTACAAACAATAGCTGGAATTCAAATAATTAGTTTATGGGTTTAAATGTGTATTATCTAATTTTAAACAGTGCAAAACTTACGGTGGAGCGTCTTTCTACGGGAAGTTAGTTTGAAATAAAAAGCTCTCGCGCTAACTTCAAAATAAAAAAACGACGCAATGCACGTTCTCATTTTATAACGTGATGTAACTTCCTTCGACCACACAAAACCCTTATTACGTACAATTATTGTGTAAAAAACTGTCACTGACTGTATAAATATTAATAATTCGGAACATTATAAAAAAAAGATAATTTAAGGTAATGTTGCCTGTATAACATGGAAATATCTGTGGGGCGATTAGCTAACATATATGAAAGGAAATGCTACGCTGCCTACAGTTGCCATTTGAATTTGCTAATTAATATCAAAATACTATTGTATTTAAATGATACTGTATAAACTACTGTCACTGTAATGCTGTTATTAACCAATTATTCCTACTACTGTGGTAGCCTGAAGCTACTTTTATGACATTCCTTTGATATCGCTACAGCTAAGAGGCCATTACAGTTGCTTTTGTTTTGTTCATCATAATCATCAGTCTTTAAGTGTGGTAAAGCTTTATAGAAAATATGGCTGCAATTTAATATCACAAAATGGTCTCTGTTCTGTGGGAGAAGGTTCATCTTCATAATGACTAAACTGGCCAGGATTAGCAAGCAGAAAAAATAATGATTAAATGTATAATCTATATCTAAATTATTTCATTGTGTGTCAATTTACATCATAATCATCAAAAAAAAGGACAGATGACTGAACAGCTTGAGTGGAAAATTATTTAATTGAAAGTGAACAAAAGCCCTGAAGGAAGTGAAGCAGCTGACAACAGGAAAAAAACTGAGAGAAAGCAGGAACGGGCTTCTCACCTGAGAAAACAACCAATGAAACGAGGCAGGGGGCGTTTCCAGAGGAACAGATAAAGCAGGTATGGCAGGTGACATCTTGACATAAAGCAAGGGCAAACAGACCAGAAAGGGGGAGGAGAAGAGTAGCTTACAACTTGGAAGTGTCGAGACCATCATTTGGACCAGCACACATTCAAATACCTGCAAAAGTCTAAACAAGGAGAAGGACTTTTCGAGCAGAGCGGTAAGAAGAGATTTATTTTACGATGTCTGCGTTTGAGGCCCAGGGACAGTCTCCTCCTCGGTGTGGCCCACAGTTCCCCAGCCTCGGCCAGGAGCCCCCTGAGCTCAGCATGTACAGCGACTGCTACTACCCTCCTCCCTCGCTGCCAAGTCCTCAGCGCACCACTCCGACCTCCTACGACCTGAGCGACTACACCACCTCCTCCCCGAACCCTTACCTCTGGTTCAACGGCTCCGGGATCAACACGCCGCCGTACCTGGCTACCGCCGGCCCGCCCGGTAACCCCGGCCCCCCCTTCGTCCCTCAGCACTACGGCATGCAGAGGCCTTACCTGGGTCCTGCCGGAGTCGGGGGTCCAGGAGGGGAGCTGAGCTGGTTCTCTCTCCCCTCGCAAGAAGACCTGATGAAGTTGGTGAGGCCGCCTTACTCCTACTCCGCTCTCATCGCCATGGCCATCCACGGAGCACCAGACCGGAGACTGACATTGAGTCAGATCTATCAGTATGTGGCCGACAACTTCCCTTTCTACAACAAGAGCAAAGCAGGCTGGCAGAACTCCATCAGACACAACCTGTCACTCAACGACTGCTTCAAGAAAGTGCCAAGAGACGAGGACGATCCAGGTAATATTTGTGTTTTATGTGCTGTAGTGTTTCATTGGTGTGTTTGAAGACATTTTCTCATTTTCAAATTTAAATTGAGCCTCACTAAGTCTACATTCTCACGCCACAGGCAAGGGCAACTACTGGACGCTTGACCCAAACTGTGAGAAGATGTTTGACAACGGAAACTTCCGCCGCAAAAGGAAGAGGAAGTCCGATTCCCTCTCCGGCGCCGACGGCAGTTCGGGGGCTCCGGAGTCAGGTGACAGCGAGAGGGGAAGCCCCAAACACTCGGCCAGCATGAACATCTCTCCCACGCCTGACAGGATCCCCTCCCCTTCATCGTCAGTCCCCGCACCTTGCCTCAGCAGCTTCCTGTCCGAGATGTCCGGCGTGACGGCCGGAGCAGCCGGCGAGGTGGGAGGCGACGCGCTGAGCAGGCCCTTGCAGATCAACCTGCCTTTAGATGGGCCTCATAGACCCACGCAACCTGGAAGCTTTGGCAGCTACTCCCCCAACTCAGGTGGGCCAGAGTGGGCGCCGCAAGGACTGGCTCCCCCCGTGCTCTCCTCTTCACCCACCCACGCCTCCCTAGGCTACGCCAGCCCCATCCTCAGCCAGTACACTGGGTCCAGTGGGCATTTCTACCCTACGCTGGGCTCGACAGGAATCATCTACCATCGCGAGGGCACAGAGGTTTAATGAGACATTAAGAAAGACTCTTGATGGGAAATGTCACCTATCTGGTCACTTTTGTCAGAGAGAGAGAGAGAGATTCGGTTGTGAAAGACAACACACACACAAACACACACAGATTGCGCTGACTGAGACAGTTGAGATCACTATAGCGTGTGACAGCTGAGTAAAAAGGGGTTAGACTCCCACAGTAACAGCTGAGTCAGCTACTATGGGTGTCACTCCCTGAACCCGCAGTCAGCCCCGCTATCAGATCCTCAGTCAGCTTTTACTCAATCTAAAGCCGGCACCTATCAGATCTGACTCATTATTAGCACATCCTGGATCTGATCTGCTGACACCAGGTCATTTCACATTACTATCGGTGATTCTTTGATGGTATCAACCATACAAACAACACTCATACAGCACATTTAGAGGAGTAGTTAATTACCCCATTGTCTACGTATGGGAATGTGTAGGAATTAACATAAGCTAAAAGGTAGATGTTTTTTTGTAGTACTAAAGCTTAAATAATCTGATGTCTGTTAGTGGTTATTGTGCTTTGTAAATATGTCAATGTGTTGTGTATTGTTATGCATTTATATTGTTGGTTTATTGGTACAACTGTTATTGTATAAAATTGATTCCTAATGAATGGTACATGCTATATGCGTTGTGTTTTTGATATGAATAAAAGGTTTTAGAGTTCCACACTTTTTCTCAATTTCTCAATTTATTTTCATGAAGAATAATTATGACTCAGATTTCTCTCAAACACCGCAGCCTATAGTCTCAGAAACGAAAAGAAGAAAGAAAGTAAGCAAGGCAATAAGCTACCAGCCGACAGAAAACAGTCCTGTCAGAAAACTGATGACCAGCAGAGTAGAACCTGCATGTCGGTGTAACACGATCTTTGTGTGATGGATAGTTAACTGATTCTCCTAAACGTTCCCATGTCCCTGAACACTGAAGTCCCTGTCCGTCACACAATCTGTTCACACACTGCTGAGTGGATGCAAGAAACGTCATTTGGGGAGAGGCGGATCAACCCGGAAAAAAAAAGCTGTAAAGATGCTGAAGCGTGAATTAAACACAGTCGCTCAACTAGGGTGAAATTCACCAATATTATTCAGAGTTTTTCAACATCATAGATAGCTGAGACCATGAAAGACAAACCAAGAACGTTCTGTACACGCAGTAGGTTTATATTAAATCAAATTTAAAAACTTTATTGCCACAGAGAAACAGGTTTGTGCTGTACAAAGAAATTCATCGGTGTCTTTCTTCTTCAAACTGCTATTCCTAAAAAGGTAACATGAAGAGAATAAAAACAGTAATATGCAACGAAAATAAGATAAGAACAGTTACGAAAATAAAGAGACCATAATACCAACGACTGCAATGTACAGTCAGATGTGGTACAGTCGTGTAAATGTGCAATAAGTCAGATGGTCTATTTTACTGTCTGTCTTGATACAGCATTTGTTATTCATAGAGTAGTTTAATATTGTTGAATACATTTTATTTTCCAACATCTACGACACATGAGTCCATGATTCCCCTGTCCAATTGTAAATTTGGACTTTAAAATATTTCAATTAGTAATAACCATTTTCTAAATTGAATAAACCAAAGTTGAACACAACTTTCAACTGCCACAAATCATGATAACAATCATATTACTTTGTTTTATTATTTCCGTTAGTTATCCTGCACAGAGAGTGTGTTATCTATATCAATATAAATCCTTTGATAGGTGTCAGCCTGAGGCCTGTATTTACCCTGAATATGTCATTTACACTAAACACAGAAAGAAAAAAGAAAAAGAACACATCGGAAAACAACCCAGAACAAGTGGAGTTTAACATCCTGGTGCAATTGGCAAAGTGCTTCAGTGGTTGAAGTATGAAGGGTCAACCCTCTCAAAATTTGCATAACTGATTTCAAAACAAGTAATAAGGTTGCACTTGGATGGATCATAAAGTCCCGCTTTATGTGGAAGCACACTATCTGATTCAAATGTGTGAAATGCCTATACACCTTAAACCTCAGTGAATTCAGGGAATCCTGGCTGTGCCTGGTTTGTATGCAAATAGATGATCTCTTCCCGCACAGAGAGGATCATGAGCTTTTTAAAAAAGAGAGCAGCGAAAGGAGCGGGAGATAAGCAGAGAGGAGGGGGAGACAAAAGAGAAAAGCAGGGTAAATATCAGAATATCACTGTCCCAACATGTCGCACTTAGCTTCCCATATCGCCCTGGTGCAGCCAATTGGTTTGTTTTTGTCTCCTTATCTCGTTCAGACTGTGCTGCTGGCAGGTGAAAGACGTGGCATCAAGAGCAGGGGTGGCCTTCTGGCCTTGTCCTATTTGATCATGCCAACCGGAACTTTACGAGGCTGCTGTTGTCTCCGTGACTTCATGAACAGCACACGTCTCCTTCTGCCGTCTTCTTCAGACAGTTTCAAATTGATGCAAATTCTCAGCCGTTAATCACGCCGTGCGCGAGGATGACAAGGTCAGAGGGAGAGTGCAGTGCTCCAGATGGAGCTCTCCAGATAAGAAACGGTTAAAAACCTGAGGGATTTACCTCCCCCAGCTCCCTGAAAACCAAAGTCAATCAGCTTTTTATTGAAACACACAACACAATACATTCTCAGATATATTGGAACTCCCCTGGTTTGTTGCTTGTATAATCTTTATTTGGACAGACCTGATATACAGATCACATCCCTTTCAAACTTAATCTAACATCCAATCATTGTACGGTTGTTCTTCCCGGTATTTCTTCTCATCTCCTCTTTTTTTTTTTTTACTTCTTCTTTCCCAGTAGACAAAACCACTTTAAACCTTCATCAAAACTCTCACCAGTTTGATAACCTCATCGTGCATTCGGTTACAAAATGAAGCTGTCGTACATTGCAACACACACGTATTGTAGGGCACGCTAGTTTCTCAATGATTCAGGGATACCCGAGACAGCATCCATCAATAAGACACTACTGTAGCTATGGACTGTCTTTGCCTCTGGCAGTAGAATTATTGCTCAACAGAGTGATGCGATTAAAATCTATCCTCACCTCCACCTGCTGCCCGGCTCGTGGCAGTCTTCCACACACCTGTCGAGCTAACGGAATGTACGCCCTCCCCTCACACACACACGAACACGCGCGCGCGCACACGCACACGCACACACACACACCGTCTATATGTGTGTGTGTGTGTGTGCGAGTTTGTGCACTGAAGGGCACACAAGTGGGTGGTGTTTATATTGTAAACTCAGACAGAGAACGAACTGGTATGTAACGAGAGATTTGTGTGTGTGTGTGTGTGTGTGTGTGTAAGAAGTGTCCTGATTATTGCGGTGTCAAACATATTTCACACCTCGCTGTCCTGCAGCTCATCAATCTGCTCAAGTTGATCCCATCTGAAAGTGAGGAGATGCACTACTTCACTTTGGATAACAGCTAACCCTGAACATGAAGCTAACTGTCCTGGTACAGGATCAACCCAAAACACACACACACACCTTCTGTATTTACTAAAACAGTCATGTCCTATCGCGGCTGTTTAGTAAACGGTATCAGAGAACGTCAAAGCCTGGAGACATGTCGCCATGCCCAGTGCTTCAGCTCTGCATTACCAGCTCACTGTTATGTGTAAACATAAACACACACTCCAGACACACGCATACAGGTGATGAAAGGGGTGAAACACCTTGCCTTTTATCTGGAAGTCATTAACAACCTTTTTTTCCTGGCTTTGTGCTCCTTTAGAGGTCAATAGGAAAAAGGTTAGAATCCCTAGTTTCCTTACTGTAGCAGAGTGTCTTACACACTTGTCTTGAAGCGCTGTCGGCAGAAGTTTGAAACACAGGAAATGCTTTGATGATGTCTGAGTTCTCAGACAGTCGGCACCTTGCCATCACCAATCTTAGTCCCAGTTTAGATAAAGAAGGAAAAGTCCCAGTTTGCCAAAATCCCATTAAAGTTCTCCATAAAAACGTGTCAAATAACAGCAGCTCCTTCTGTGTAAAACAGTGCATCCAGGCGTCCCAGGCTCCAGGGAATGATATTCCCCTTCCTAAACATGGCTTATATACACAATTTGGGGAAAAGAGAAGTTTAAAGACAAACACAGAGCGCTTTGAGACTGTGTGTATATATGAATCATCGCTATTGCACCCTAAAATATTTTCCATGTCAACATGCAGCAAACATGGTGATATGAACAGGGCTTGGAGGTGAGGGAGGGAAAAAGAAGGATGCCTCGTATTGACTGAGAATTGAACTTTGTCACAGTTTACCTGGTGGGAGGCATGGACTGGACATGGTGGGGGGGTGGGGGGTTTCAGCCTGCACTTTGGTCATGACTGGAATGTTTCAGCAACTGTTGGATGCTTTGTATTATAAAGGTTAAACATGAAGGAACATGCTTGGAGAATGATAAGAGCCGTTCTTTTATTTAGGCACTTTAGTTATTGCCTCTGATGGTAGACCTGGCTGTCCTGATAAAAGAGGAAATGTAATGCAACAAGTGGCCTTTTTATTCTTCTCAGGAAGCTTTATCTAACGTTAATCCTTCTGGATGGGAAAAAAATAATTAAAATCACTTTCTGAGAATGAAGCAAGTCCTCTTCATACCATCTGAATCACACAGACTTTTACGAGGCTGCGTTTCAGCATGCAGGGTGAGGACAGTATCTGTTCAGCAGGCAGCATGTGCACTAATGCACTCACATTTATTTCCATTAAACCAGCTCTGAAACCGGACCAGACAACATGAGCGAGATTCAAACTGTGTCCATTTAGAAGATGAATTGCTCAACAGAAAACCAAACCAAAAAAGAGAAAGAAAAACAAACAATAATTGGCTCAGTTTCCAAATGTGGCCATTAACATGGAATCCGACTGCAATTTAGCCTCAGGCAGATGTCGGAGGAAGAATTTTCCATGCTCGTGCTTATTGTAGCTGATTTGGTTCAGACCTGGAAGGTGATGTAACCCAAACCTCGCTGTTGTTTTTTTTTACATGTGGTTTCTTTTATTTGTTTGTTTCAGTTTTTAGGTCAATGATGATGCTTGTGGTGTTAAAAAAACAAACAGCTGAGTGACAGCTTCCTCCTCAGTTTGTTCAAGCATTTAGCGTAAAATATTCAGTCATGCATGCGATACATCTAACCAGGATTTATTGATATTTACGACAATCACAGGTTTTAGTCATACATGGTGAAAGGCTTTAACAGATTTATTAAAGTTGAAACTAATCCAGTTCTTAATATTGCACTTCACGAGTGCTGCACATTCATTGGTGCAAGCTGGTGGTGCTGCAGCATGCACGCACGCACGCACCCCCACACACACACACACACACACACACACACACACACACACACACACAC